TCGGTTCGCTTTTGTTTCCTTTCGCAACAGCAAGTTACTCATTTTACCGCAAAACAACAATTTCCCATGTGGATTACAGTAAAGGCATCGTAAATTCTGACATCTATAGCTTCAGTTTTTATCAAAGATATCAAATGTGTCTTTATCAAAAAATATGATAAGAGTATCGTAAAGATGTTAAATATTGTCCGGTGTTCCATATCCAGCCGTTTGAGCTTCTCTATCTTTAAGGTCAAGAGCACCAGCAGCACATTGACCGCAAGGCGATGCAACATGACAAAGCAGCTGCATATTTGGGCAACTGCGTTGTCAGTTGGAGCTGGTCAAACTACCTATAGTTTTCATAAATAGAGCTCATTTCATAGAATAGTTAGATTTATAGCTAATAACTTAATTCAGTAATGCAAAAACCAACTTTTACCAGCAGTTCAGTTCACTTCAGTCTATGGTGTTTTGTAATTCTATGATGTTTTGTAATTCAGGTGCAAATGTCTACTGCTTGAGGAGTCGTGCCCTTCAACAGTGTGTGCTAGACGGAAACGAGGAGCTGGTATAATTTTTTTCAGCATTTTTGTAGGTTTTATTTTGTTAGCTAACAAAAACTGAAGAGCGAGCGCTGGCTGTGAAGGGAAGATTGATAAAGCAAAGGACGCTTGGCGTACCTTTTTCGCGCCATAGAAGCAGTCAGTTTTTCCGTCAGATGATCGGCTTGCATCCAAATGGTCTGCGCACATTCTTGCAGTCCAAATTTTAGCTTCCTCTAATAAAAATTTGAAATTTTGTTTTTCCAGGCATTGCATTTGATTACAAAAGGTTTTGACCCCAAACAAATTGAATTGCCTGCCGAAGAAGACTTAGGAGAAACCGTTTATAAAGTTAGTGATTTATTTTTCGAGAGCTCCTGAATTACTTGTAATTAATATTATTAGCTTCAAAAAACCTGAAGTGCGTTTTTTTCTACAAACTTGTTTTTCACTGATTCTTTTAAATTACATTTTAGTTTTCTATAGTAAGTGAAATTCGAATGAAGGCATCGAAAGTATGATGCCTTCTCGATACCACGGTTTATCAGACTGTGTTAATTCTGTTAAAATAGGACTGTATAGTTTTGAAGGAAATTTAACTACTCCCGGTGAATAAAAGACTTCTTGGTCATTTTTTGGATTTTCCTGGCCAATTTTAAGTCCCCCTAGCAACTTAGTTTTCTATTTTTCTAGCTCA